GTTTATTTTTTCTCCAGAGTTGCCACTTTTTTCTCTCAGGGTTTGACTGAAGTCTGAGAAAAAATTAATTGGATATCTTCATAAAGAACATCCTTGGACCTTGAATGGCATGCTAGTTTCTCAACTCTAATTTTTGTAAAAAACATATGGTTGAAAAGATAAATGTAAAATGTGTAAATGATAGATTGCTAGTGAGTTGTTCTGTCAAATGACATGATATCAATAATCTCTACCTTTTTCCCAGTTGACTGGAACATATAAAAAAGGAGAGGCATAACACATATGTGAGTGTTGACTCATTTTAATGCACCAGGTAGATTTTTGGGGAATAGTATCATCCCTTTTCTATCCAAACACTGTTTGGAAAAACCTTCATTTCCCTAACACAAACAAAACAGAGATCACTTTTTTAAAGCTTCGGGCACCCAGCAAAATATTTATTCAATTAGGCATTTTATAATTTACCAATATAGCTTTTTTTCACCTTTTGCCCTTTCTCTGTCACTTTGCTCAGTCAATTTACTCTTTTGATCATATATCTTTATTTAGACTTTATGTGAGCAAAGACACTGTGCTGGTTTTATCAATCCACTCCAGCTGTGGGTAACAGTAACATTTGGTCTATTGTCTTTTACTGGCTGTAAAGCGCTATGTTCAGTGTTTAATAACATACTCACTTATAAATAACATACTTCAGTCAAAAAAAACCCACAGAAGAGATACGCAGATGATTTTTCCCAAGCATTTCATGTTTCTTTCATTCTAAGCAGTTCTGTAATCACAAGGATAGGACATTCCTTATTTTGCCACTGCTGGATGCATTCATCACTTGTTGCTTTCACAAGTCACAAATAAAGGTAAAGAATCAATCCCTGTGGTCAGTGAATTTTTTGCATGGTCACATGTTTAGGTAGTTTCTTAAAAGAATTAACCCAGGCATTCCACAGTTGCAAATGCAGGCATAATGGTTGGGTCTGTTGCTATCATGGAGGGCAGGAAGTCATGATTGGGGTCTGGTTTGGCTCTTGTTGAGGTTGTAGAACACCCAATACAGCAGGGCCCATCCCTCAACCAAGCCCTTGGGGAGCATGGAGATGTTTGTTATATCACTGGAGTTATTCTATGGAAAGGCATTCCATGTCCTTTTTTTTTTTTTTTTTCCACAGTTTAATAGGATTTAGACATACAGTTCCCACTGCTTTTCATGGATATTGCATATTTAATTTCTGTGCAACTCCAGAAATTAAGAGATATGTTCCTTTAAAGTTTACTTTAATCATACCCTATTTTTCCCTTCTCAGAAAATACTATTAAAGGTATTTAAACTGATAACTTTATTCTAGTGGGGAGGATCTCTGACCTTATCTACTTTGTGGCAATGACCATGTGTGATTGGCCTCTAACCTGGTTACAAAATTATAAAATGATGTTGTGAAACCACTATTCATTTCCTAACAGTGTCTCTGAAATCAGCTTAAATTCTGAGAGGCTGGGTACTGCATTTTCTTTCTCACAGTTGTAGTGCACAGTATATACAGTATTGATCTTACTGTAATTTTCTGACACTAAAATATGCTGAATTTCTCATTGCTAACCAATATTTAGAATGAATGGTGACTGATTAAGGATTTTGAATGGATGAATGATGGGTGGATTTGCTATTTTTTGCACATTGTCGTTACTAGAGTAAGGTATGGCATTTTACAATAGATTTCAATATCCTGCATCAGCCTGCTGGAAACCTGGATCTGAATTATTAAGATATTCTTTATGCAGTCAAATTTAAGATTGAGAACTTTCAAACTGCATAATACTAACCTAAGTTTGCATCCATCTTATTTGAATTACTTAAATTGAACACCTCTCTGTACAGCTGATGAGTAGAACAAATAATTTCAAGGATGTTACTTTATGATTTTGTTATATGACTATACAGTCCCAACTTTTTTTTTTTCTGGTCGCTAATACTGAGATCAGACAACCCTTCTTGCATATTGAAATGATCCCACGCAGTGCAGTTTCTGTTGAGGAACACATGAAGAGAAGTTGGCCCAGTGGCTGACCTGGGCTATTTCGTCAAAGATTACAGTGATGAGTCAATCTGAAGCGTATACATCTGCTCAAATACAGACCATGTTGGCTTTTCATAGAGTTGTTCATTCAACAAATGTGATGATTCACACCTGTGACTAGTATTCTGACTTACTTATCCATTTAATATGAGACTCATTGGCCTTCACCTTATTTTCTTCTGTCCTGCTACTCATCTCTCACAGAAGGCTTTAAGAGATAAGGCAGAGATAGATTAACTATCAGGCACTCTTCTGATGGTAGATGCCAAATAAGAGCAGAGTTGGAAGAAGAGTAGCTGGCTCAACAGGGACTCTGTAGTCTCCACACTTGACAACACATGGGTGAGTCATGGTGTGTACAGGTAGAACAGCCCCACCACGATCCTTCAGCACATGCTTAGACCCTGGCCACCACTTCAGCCAAGACAGATGAGGGTAGTAAAGCGGTAGTTTGCTCTGGTTATGAAGTGAGCTGCAGTTTTGATTTCATGCTTTTGCAGGACACTGCACACTTTTCCATAACTGTATTAACAAGGTGCTGGCAGAGTGACCCAGGCTTGAGGTGCTGAGTTCTGCAGCTCAAGGGGAGCCAACCATACCGCATCATGGCCACAGAATATAATCCTTACGGGAATGCTATACTCAAGGAAAGTCCTCCGAAATGAGAGCTCCCAAGGCACAAGCCCACACAATCATTCTCCCTGCTCCCACAAATCCAGGGACAGGCATGTTTTATGTGGATACTGATGTCCACAAAGCCCATGTTGGGACCTCATACCCAAGGGAAAGTGAGATACTGACAGAATTTCTACATTGCTTAAAAGTCAGGCACTTGTAAATGTGTTTGGCTATATAAAGCACTCACATAGAGCAGAACTAAAGGAAAAAAAACTTAAAAGGTGGTAAATTGCTGGCTTTGGAAGACTTAGGACAGCTGGAAAGTTATTAGGATATTAGGATTGTTACCATACAGTTGCTAAGCATTCATAGCAAGGAAGAAAATGTAAAGCATTTTGTTACCAGTACCAATTTAGCACAGCAACTGATAGAATGAAATTGTTAAAGTTTCCTTAACTTGTAACTTAAGAACCAATAGTTGTTTCAGTTGTAATTTCCAGTCATTCAAGAAGTTCCTAGAAAGAAAGCAAAGGCAAGAGTCTACAATTCTAAGACTACCTTCACACATGGAAGTTATAGACCATGGTGTGGACGTAAAGTTGCAAAAATGCATATATCCACCTAGTTTATTGTTCTGTAGGAACATTTTCTAGTTATTCAGTGTAGCATTATGCATCTCTAAATGTACCCATGTTTAAAGTTGAATTGGTATGAATACCTCTGTCTAAAATACACTTTAGAAGTTTGCATCATTTACATATGGTAGCTGATTTTTACAGGTTTTTTTTTTAACATATTTACCATATCAGTTACCATAATTACAGAAAGTTGTAAAAAATTACATTTATAGAGACAGGAACACTTCAATCAGCATACCAGTCACCGCGTCGTCCCCCAGAAATCAGACAGTTACTTTTAACTGCAAGCCTCCTTTAGGGCAAGAAAAAGGGTCACCTACACCTCTGCCTAGTCCCTATTGGATGCAATGGGTAAGATCCCACTTTTAAAAATGCTTTCAGTTACACTCACTACCGCTGACTCATCTGAGGCCCAGTGAAAGAAATGCAGCTGATAACAAGAACAAGGAGAAAGTGTGCAAGAAATTTCCTTTATACGTTATCTTGGTAAGTACCCCCACTAAAGTCAGTACCAAGAAGAAAGGTTTAAAAGGTCAGATCAGGTTTAAAAGTGCCCCTGCCTTCCCATCACTGCCCTGAAATTTGTTTTCTTATGTCTGTGAGTGGGTGTGTTTTGCCTCTGTGACAAAACTGAAATTCCTGCTTCATAGGTAGGTTTTTGTCATGTAAGGCATATGCATGACCTCAATTCTCCATTTCTTGCCTATTGAGCAAATGAGAGTTTAGCAGCAAAAGGAGTTACCACCTCAGCATTATCTAATACTTGTGCGTATTGCATGCACACATGCTTGGATAAAAATGTTTAACAGCTGACACAAGTTGAAATAAAACACTTCCCCTCCACCCCCAGTAATGCTTCTTTCACACAGCCTTAAGGAATCTCCTGGCAGGAGGACAATTTGACGAAAAATCAGGAGGAGAAAAGAGAAAGGTATGCCAGGAAACACAGCTCCGGTCTGTGCTGGTGGTTGGATTCTTGACGAGTTCCACAAAGAATCCTTCTTAAGGTTCACATAAAACCTGGTTACAGAGAGTGGTGACTTTCCAAACGGCTTTGCAGAAGCAAATAGAAGCAGTGCAGCTCACCGGTGAAGCTCAGTCCGACTATATGAATGAGGAAATGTGCCAGAGGACTCTTATTCACTGCCGTTAATTTATACGTGAGTGTTAGATTGACACTGCCACCCCGGTGGGCACCAGCTCCGCAGGCTGGCCTGTCCGTGGGATCTGCATGGAGTTTGGCGCTAACTGTGGGATCTGGGAAAAAAACCACTTTTGGGAACTACGCCTTTTGTGCCTAAAACACGAGCGGTTCGGTGTCCGTGCGGGACGGGGGAGTCACGGCATGTCCGGGTGTCAGGGATCGGCCCAGGATTGCGGGTGGGAGCCGGCCTGGCACCCCCGGCCCGCGCCCCCTGGCGGCCGTGGGGGCGGTCGGGGCCCTCGTGGGTCACGGCAGCGATACGGGGGTCTCTCGTGGGTCACGGCAGCGATACGGGGGAAGCCCCTCTCAGCCGCCCATTAGGGGTGGTCTCCTGGCGGGCGGAGCGTCCGCCCGCTCACCTGTGGAGAAGGCGGCTGGTTAAAGCTTAACCCGAGCGGGCTGAGCAGGCGTTTTAGGACAATCCTTGTAGCTCGCCTGACTCGTCTTCCAGGGAGTGCTCAGGGCTCGGTGCTGCTGCTGTGGGAAGTCCTCGGCCGCCTCCCCACGTCCGGTGTGTCTCCAAAGGGGTCGGCAGCCTGGGCAGCGCCGGGATCGGGGCCGGGCCCTGCAGAGCAGCCGTGCCCCAGCCTTTCACCGCGGCGCAGGTCACCACCTGCTCGAGGGAGGCAACACAGCCCTCCCTGCCGTGTTGGCCTTTGCTGAAATTGAAGTGTCTCTTGGCTCCAAGCCATGTGAAAGCTTTGAAGCATGTGGGTTATGGGCACTGGGTTTGGCCACCCCTTTAGTCGACAGTGTAAGAAAGAGCACTCGGTTCAGCACCGCAAGCTGTGCTGTTCCTCCTACACCAGTCAGATCACGTCCAGTGCTCACACTGGTGCGTGGTGTATATAAAACCTCACGGAAATTAAGAGGTCCTTCTACTGAGAGTCGTAAAAGGTAATCAGTTCCAGTGGGGGTCAAACAACAAAATGCTCCTGGGAATAATTTGGACTTTGTTTCTTCAGTTAAACCAGAATGAATCTACTAGTGATTCATATTTCCATGGTGTATAGACCTTGTGCACGTGACCATCCTTTGTTCTAAAATTAAGTCTGTCCCTTCTGTCCCTTTATTCTGTAAACCATCAATTCGTAAGGATTTAAGGAAGGATAAAAACTCCTGTAAATTATTATGGTTTCACAGTGTTAAGGAATGCAGGAGGGAACTTTCCAGGGTTTTTTTTTAATACAGTCTACTCCTAAATCGTACTCTCAGATTTATCATGAGCTTTGCATGCAGACCAGACCATGAACTAGTTTAACTAGAGTTATTTTGGCATCAATTTCACTGCAGTGTTGTGAACTGTCAGGTGGACACACTGAGAAACAAGGTATAAATGTTACATTAGCACATTAACACAGGGTTTTAAAGGTATATAGTTAAGTAGGAGGAAAAAGGGGTCTAGATGAGACAGCACAAGCTTTGTGCATAGATTAATTTTTCCTTTTGTCTGGATTTTGCCTGCATAGGAACTCTGCTTAATTCTGGGTCAGATGACTGATGTAAGTACATGTTTGTCCCACCAAGGGAGATTTGCCTTGAAGTATCTGAAATATCTGTCATAGTATGCTTTCCTCATATAGTAGTAGTAAAGATAAAAATCCATCTCAATCAGCTGACTTACATGCTCTTTCCTTCTACACTTAACTGTAACATATTAATTCCTTTGACAGTCAATAACTACGTATTTCAAGAGATAATTATTTCCCCCTATATGAATATGTTCCAAAGCCTTTGCAAAAGGTCTGTGAGAGGAAAAGCTCATTAGTTTGTTTGAACTTCTAAAGAAATTAAATGTAGAGTGTACAGTAAGACGAAAAAGTATCCAGAAGGAGGGATTGTTACCCATGCAAGTTCAATCATACTAAAATTACTCTTTCATTTATTATAAAACCTGATTATTTTTTCCTAATAGAAATATTATCAATGAGTAAGATCTGCAATTTGTCTAAAGGAATATGGACAAAATCTTTAAAGATTCAGCGGTGCTCAGTATGTCAAAACACTTGAGCAGCTTGTAAGATCAGAACCCAAAAGCCAAGCAAGGATGCAGCCACCTGGGAGGCTGATTAGGGTAAAATGAAAAGTTCTTAAAGGGGTTCTATTGTAGATGTTGTTTAAATAATCCTATCCGAACTTAACCATTGTACTAAAAAAATAATCAAGTCTTGCAGGTTACTCATGCTTATGCAACTTAAAAACAAAATCTATCAGTTGAGCCAGGTCCTTGGCTCTACTCCAATAGTTCAAAACAGGTCTAGAGCCAGCTTAACTGCCCCAGCCATAACTATTTTCACTTTTCCAGAAAACAGTTCTGCCAGTCATAGACCTGCTGAGACAGCGTACACTTCCGTACTTCTGAACTTTGACTCCCAGAACATAGGCGAAGAAACAAAAGGCATGGGAAGTATGAACCTGCTCTACAGTACCTCTCTGCCTCTGGAATGCTCCTCCTGGTCTAGGAGCAGCTAATTAATTCTTTAAACAACAAAACAAACTCCAGGATAATTAAACAAAATGTTCACCATACCTTTTGGGTTCCCTCCCCATACTTTTTTTTTAAAATTTGTCATCTTTGGAGATATGACAGAATAAGAATTGAAAAACTATTTAATGTCAACTGTTAGGGTCTGCTTTTCCTTGGTCTTTAGTGAATCATCCAAGGTATCATTTTGGAGTTCCTGTTGCTTGTTTTACACAAATATGTTCTCAAGCTTCTGTCTGATGAGGAAGTAATGACAATTTGTGGAGTAATAAGAAAGAGCCAACATTTTATAATGTTTAAAAATGTTAATCATAAACATCAAAAGGTTATAATCTGTTGACAGTCATCTACTTGATTTATACAGCTGGCTGCCCTACTGGCTCTTCTTTCAGGCTAACTGGAGAGTGCTCTGACATACGTGTCTCTGTAGAGTGGTAACTCCGGAAACATTCAGGTAGCAGCTATCCAAAACAATGGGTTGAACTCGGAGGCCTGAGCAAGAAGTACTCCAGGCAGTACATGCAATTTTCCCAGGTGAATTAATTAGGAGCAAAGGCCTCCAGGAGCAAAAATACCCACCAACCCCAAAACAAAACAGAACAAAAAGACCAACACTCTGTCTAGCAGTTGCCTAGAGCAAGGGGATGGGAATTTTGCTTTTGTGTTCCTGTTGCCTAGAGTAATGTAAAACCTTTACCCCTTTACAACTAGCAACAAATCCTGGGGGTGACTGGGTGTTACACTGTGTGAGATGGAAGAAGAAAGAAAAATAGAGAAAGAGCCCTTTGGGGCATTGAGTCAGCCTGAGGGCCAAGCGCAGGGTTTGGGAACAAGAAATTGCTTACTATCTGTTTATTTACAAAGACTTTAAAGGAAGGGAGAGAGTTGATACTGCTCCTTTGTCCTCCTGATAGACATACTAATTCAGACTTTCCAATAATAACTTCTAAAGCCAGGAAGAAAATGTTATTTTTCCCTTTTATGACAATCAGATGTTTAGTGGGAGGAACACTCAATGTGCATCTAAGAGATAGGTGATGCCAGTTATGAGGAGAACTTCACACCCTCAAACTAAACCTGTTTGGTTGCCAGTATAGTAAGCAGCCTGAACAGTACAGGGATAGGTTTACAGTCATTTAAAGTGTAGTAGGTAACACATAAAAAACCTTATCTAGAGACACCATAAACTTGTATGGCTTGCTTAGCAAAATAAAATGACGGCTAATGTTCTCTACACACAGGCTTTCTAGGTTTGACTGAGAAGGGAACAGAACAAGGACACCTAAGAAAGATTCTGATTTCAGCCTGTTTAAAACTGGTTCACTGATGTAAGTAATCACATCCTGCCCTCTGTTTCTGCAGGTACCTGAAACACTGGTCCAAAGAAAGATTCTCATCCATGCCATATTTTGGAGGGTCATGTAGCAACAGCAATGAACACATGACAGCCAAAAAATTAAAAGGCAACACAGGTACCTGTTTGAAAGTACTCTTCATCATTTCAACACTCACCTTATCCTAATTTTCTCCATCTCCTCCTCACTTTGGGTGAACTTTGTCTCACAAAAAGATAAGAAAAAGATTATGCACCAAATTATTCAGCTGACTCCTGATTCTGACACTCGGCAAGGAAAGTGGTATGTAGATGTTATCTATACAAGGTGAACTTTATCTTGCCTTTCACCACCCAATTTTAAATAAAATATATATACTTATAACATTTCTGTTAATGTTGCCCGTTTCACCTTGTTGTGGGGTTTTTTGTATCTCTGAACTTCTTACAGTTTCCTAGAATTTATAGTTCCAGAGTAATTTAGATCAGTAGGAAAAATAAACTGGTAGTGTTACTTTAAGTGCATCCTTATCAATGAGAAACACAGCTCAGCGCTGAACTGTCATATCCAGCTTTACAGCAGCAGTGTACATCAAAAGTTAGCCTGCTCTATGTTATAAAAAGTTTTTGGGGGAGAAAGAAGTCACAGTTCCTTGGGATATTTATAGTATTTAAGAATGCTTTTAAGTAACTTGTAATGGCAGATGCCATAGGGTACTCTGTCATAAGTGGTTTTCCTATTCATAACAAGTAATGCATATTATGGTGCGTTTCAAGCCAGGCCCACAGTAAACTTTGTAGAAAAAATAAAGACCATGTCCGTATTACTGTATGAATTCCATTTGGATCTTGTTAATGCCATGTTGTGTTTTGATTTTGTTTTGGATACAGCTCTTAAGTGGAGTTTTTAGCCTTGAATTTGACAGTATGGACTTCATGATGGACTTCATAGGATTACATTTAAAGCTCCAACACAAGTATCAATGGTACAAGATAAATGGTGTTACCACGGGGTAAAAAATTGACTTGTTACAACAGAACTAACCTCTGAATGGCTTGGGCAAGAGGCCTGCATAGTGAGAGACCTGCTCTTCCAAGTGCTAGCTCCTTTCTCCCTTCCACAGACTATTTCCTCCTACCTCTACTACACAGCCTCTCCCCAGGAGTGCATTCTCTTCACCCAGGGTGTGTAGTTGTGGACTGCTGCCCTTGCAAACATCAAGATGGCTACAGCACATCCTGGATTAGAGGAGCAAGATGGACTAGGAGGACCACTGGGAACTCAGAAGGGCTGGGATACCACTTCTGGAATCCAAATAAGCTCCGGTCACTGCTCCAGAAAGATCCCAGATGTGGAGTTAACAGTTGTCAATGTGCTGGAAAGACAGAGTTAGAAATTATTGACCTGTAAGTGATAGGATCAATTCACACCACCACAAATCCTCCTAGAACAGGACCAGGCCACATTCTAACAGAAACTGCCAAATTTGATCAGATTTGATGTTTCATTCAGGCTTCTCCAGACTAGAAAGCCCCACTCCCTTGGAAATGACACAGGCTTCTCATACGCCACGTGTGAGGCTATTAGCACTACTACAAGAGTTTTTATCTTCTTTCAAACAACATGTTTCTGTCCTGTATGCACCAGTCCCACTCGCTGTCTCTGGCCTTACCTTTGCTTCCAGCCCTGATGCCTTCCAACTGCTGCTCTTCATCATCCAGTCATAAACATCCCTTTTAACATGTATGATCAGCAGCCAGCTTGCTTTTCTTCTAAGATGGCTGTGGTTATTGATTATTCAGAGTTACACTGTAATTGGCAAGTAACAACTGATTTCAAAGCTGTTTCAAAACTTCAGAGAAAATAAATTTTGAACTTCAGGGGCATAGATAAAACTATTCACAGTTGCTGTTAAAGAGGTTAAAAACCAGATCAGACATCTTTCATTTCTACTCCTTCCTCAGCCACGTAACATCATGTGTGAGGATTTTCCTTTTGTAAATTACACAGCTCCCTTAACCAGCACTTCTCCCCTGTTTAATAAAAATCAAAGAATCTGGATTGGGAGCTTCTCATGTGTTCTCAGTTGAGGCCTCCAGTCCAAACTCGATCTTAGGCACTGTTAGCATGTTCCTCAGTGGGAAGATGTAGCTCTGCTGATTTCTGAGAGGTTTTTTTCACTTGTTTGTTGGTTTTTTTCATTTTAATACATTTATTTAGAACTAGGCAGATAAATCTCTGTGTGGTATACCTCAACATGCTACTTGAGTCACTCTGGCTTTGTTAAAGGACTGAACTGACACTCATCTTGGTTTACAGCTCTACTTGTAGCTGCTGAGTTCTACCTACTGCAATCACTCCACAGCCTCTTAACTCAACAATCTGTCCTTTTTCCTGTCAACACAGCTTTTCTCTAAAGAATGCTGTTGACCAAACAAATACCTTCAGAGGGCATGAGACTGCTATTGCATGTGTAACTTTTTAAAAAAGTCATCTCCTGAGGTGATGAGAACTGGGGGAATTCTGTGTTATAAATACACAGATCTTTATATGGCTTGCTTGTAGACAAAGCCATCACTCAGGAGACTTCAGCATATAGAGAGAAATATAAGCAGGAGATGTTTAGTTGTGTCCTAGTGAATTATATACCAGACACAGAGATTGGGGATTATGAGGGTTATTTTTGAACAGTTGGATGCTTAAGTCTTACACCATTTCTAAATGCTCTAGGTGAAGCAGGGCCTGGAAGAAGAAAAAGCAAATTCTGATGGCAAAAGAAATCTTTATATAGCTACTAGCCTACAGTTTCAGTTATTGCCTTTAATTATTCTTGAATTGTATCATATTAGGCATGGCTTATTCAGGTGTTTCTCAAGGGCAATGACGGTTTGTTTCAGCAAAGCCTAATTGTTACCGAAAGAGTGACTCCTAGCAAGTAACAATTCAGTGCAGAAATGTAGGTTTCTCATTTAGAGAAAACTGTTTTTAAGATGTGTCATCACTGAGCAGACTTGGGTTGGTATAAACTAGTTATTAAATGGCTTTCTGATGTTAGGCATGGTATAGGTCTGAATGTGATTAAGTTAGCAGGAATTCTGCCACTCTTTGGTGACAATGACTCTGAGTCTTGAACTGAAAAATAGGAACATCTTAGCAAGAGAGTAGCTATTCTGAATTGAAGTAAAACATTAGAAAATTTCAGGGTAAATCAAAAGAGCAGACCTCGGCGTGAGTACTTAAAAAGAACTACATTTGTTAAGATCCAATTATTATGCAAAGACTGAGAAGCTTAAAAAATCCTCCATATTGCAGTTTACCATTATCGGTCTTTATTTCATGGTGATGGCATGATTAACATCTGGCTATGAAGGCAGCTCAACTCCCTTCTAATACTGCTTTAGCTGTTGGTAATACTACCAGCCCTAGCAGAATCTCTAAAACTACTTTTCAGCCTACTAGTACAGGAATAATTTGTTTCTCAACTGTTACTTTGAAACATATTGATTTTTCAGCCTACACGTTTTTACATGTTTGTGATCTTATCTTACTCAAATTTCAGAACCGCACAGTTTACTGCTAAGATAAAGAATGCAAAATTATTCACACAGTTTGGCTTCAGACAAACAAATGCAACTCGACACAAACAAAGGGAGTTGTATCCAAGCGTTATTTGCCTGTGTTCTTAATATTTCAATACTTTGTGGAAAAAGCAAGTTGGGTAACAAGCTGTTTTCACTTTACTTACAGTACACTTTCAGGTTTCTCTAGTCTCCAAAGCCAAGAATCCAGTCTAAAGATGCCACAAAGCTTCAGCATGCTTTAGGCAAGGCAGTGCTGCGCTTTTTTGTCTATCTTTGTTGCTGTGCTTTGGAATAAAGGTAAAAAGAAAAGCAGTCTAAGATGTTACCTAAATCTTCTCTACTTAGTCCATATATGATTTATGCTTAGAGGAAAGAACCTTGGGTTGGAGCTGGTTAGATTTGCTTTTTCTGCTGAAACAAGCTCCGAGCTTGAAGCATTTCATCGGAAGCACTCTGCTTTGATGAACTTTCAGCAATCCGAGCTGAGGCCAATCTCCCCAAAATGGGGCATGCACCACACCAGCCAGGTCTCCAGTCTCCAACCTGCTGGCAAATGGTCTGTGCATAGAGCATCCAAATCATCCATTTGATACCAGCTGACACAACTTCCTCAAAGAATAATTGTGACTTTTGCAGGAAAAGCTCAAGCCTTTCAAGTGTCGATGTTGGCATGAGACTTGTTTCTCTCGCTATCGTGTAGCAAACAGGGCCAGCTTTGTAGAGTGCAACTGCTTGACTGCTCTGGGTTATTAAACCGGCAGCTTGAAAGTCAACCTCCTGCAGTCCCAGAAACCTTCTGAGAGTTTGCAAGCCTGAACTGCGGCCCTGTGAAGGACTGCACTTTCTAGCAAAGTATAAGCTGTTTTGATTAATTGTCTTCATTTTGTAGCAACTTGTTTGTCCCCGTCGGTACCATGGAGGACAGGACCTGACTTTTGAACAACTTTTGTTTGTCCCCAGCAGGACTTGACACTCCTTGCCCATGTTATGCAAGGCTGGCCTACCCTTTGTGTGACAGAATTGTCAGGCAAGATTTACTACCACCTTTCTTTACAGACAGGGCTACTCTTTCAATCTTGACTGAATGGAAAGCGTTTGCCAATTTGTGTCTTATTTTAATTTCCTCTGCACAGATCTGGAGAGTGCCTGCCTATAAATACTTGCTTATAGGGTACTCGGGAAACCACTGTTTTCTCTAGGGATTAGATCCTGTTTTCAAGTCATATCTTACCATGGAAACAGAGAGGTAATAAAGGATCTGAATTTAATTTTTCTGCATCAGCATCTCAGTCATTCATTCAGCCAGGTGGAAAAGCCTCATTACGAAACAAAAGCTGCAAGCCAAAATGGTGGTTTCAGTGAAAGCAGGATCCCAAAGCTAAAGGACTCACAGTTTAATAGAGGTAAGCAATCTTTTCCAAATCAAAATAAGTAGTGTAGTGGTACCTAACAAATATGATATGCAAATTTTCAAGTCTTACTATAAAAGTCTTCCAGTCAATTCTGAATGTGTTTCAGACTGGCCTATGAATCAAAAAAAAAAAAAAAAAAAGTATACTAAAACAGAGACCAGAATGTGTGCCTGAATTCTGATTCAGTCTTTGCAACTGAATTTTCCAGACATCATAGAATGATTTTCAACATGCTATTACAAGTAATGGAGTGGAATATGTATTTTAAATATGTATTAAAGTGAGGTTAATCTTGACCGCGTTTTTCACAAAATCATTTGGAAATGCATGCCAAAGCAATTTTTTATTACATTTTAATCTTTTAAAGTATTCAAAAAAGCTATTGGAAGTAAAGGCTGTGATCCTGCAAATATCACCATTAACTTTAATAAAGCTACCAGTATGCTGTTAGGGGCTGCTAAATACCAAGAACTTATAAATGCAAATTTTCATAAAAATTTCAAAAAATTTCATAAAAACTTATTCTTTACTGAACCAATACAAAACTATGTCATCAATAACAATGAAATAATTCCAATTTTTTAGGATGCTATTGAAATTTTCATGCATTTCTGAATATACAGATCAATCAAAACAACCAGCCAAAAAAATGAGGGTTTTGGGAAAGACCAGACCTCTCTTTGACCATATACCACACTGAAATGCCTAGAACTCCTGAAATGGACACAAAAGATTTGCTGTGAACAGCTCTCTGTGCTCTTGATCAGAACAAGAGGCAAAGAATATTTCCAAAAAAATC